GTTGGTGATAGGAGGTGGCAGCAGAGTCAAAGGAGTCTCCCTCTGGCTGGCTGGCTGCTGCCTGGCTCGAAGGCTCCCCACCTCTGCAGGCCCCAAATCACGAACCATTTGCCACCACCAGAATCCCCCTGCCCCAGATGCTCGGAGTCTCCAGCAGGGAGGGGTGTGAAGGACCCTTCAGGCCCAACCCCTCCTGCTCTCTGTCCCCTCTGAGTGCCCTGCCGAGGCCATCTAGTCCTTGCCAGGCAGTAGTTCATCTGCTAGCAGAGCACTTACTGCTGCCCATGAGATCTGCCCACACCTTGGATCCCAGTGCTAGAAACTGGGCCCTGAGCAGGGTAGTGAACTGGGCTCCGAGCCTGGAGTTTGGAGCCAAAGATCTGAGTTCATGCCCCGCCCTTTCCTCGCTGGTTGTCAGCTGGAGCTGGTTGTCGACTTCCGTAAGCCTCACTTTCCCCCCATCAAATCAGGCGGACGGGTCTTGCCCTGCCTTCCTCTAGGACTTCTGTGAGGAGCATTCTTTCTCTCACTCGTGCATTTATGAAAATGTTCTGAAGGTCAGTGCCAGGCCCTGTACTGGGTGCTGGGGTCAGGGGTCGAGGGAGAGAGAGGAGAATGTGTGCATGGAAGGGACAGCAAACTGTGAAGTGCTGTACCAAAGTGAGGGACTCCTGGTGACTATCTCTACCTTGGGTGCTCTGACAGCCCTGGAATCCCATTCCCCGAGTCCGAGCCTCCCTTTCTGCCCCTGGCTGGGCTCGTCCTGTGTGTGTTCCCAGGGGCCAGGCCCATGCCCACCCGTCGTTGCTGTGGGTAAGTGCTCCCCTGGGCTGGTGCCAGCAGCAGGTGAGTCATGGCCTTCTCAGGGGGTCACACCTGTAAGAACGTCTCTCGGCCTCGCTGCCCGTCACCATGAACATAGGCCACTGCCGAGGATCTTGATGTCTGGGGGACGCATCTCTTCTGATTGTCTCGTGTTTACTGACAGGGGCGGGTGCCAGCCCTGTGCTGAGAACTTACTCGTGCTCATGACAGCCCTGTGGGGAAGATATTATTGTTTATTCCCATTTGAAAGGTGAAGAAAATGAGGTTCAGAGAGGTTAAGTTATTTGCCCAAGATTACACAGGCAGGACTTAGGTGCCAGGCTATCTGGCTTACACAGTGTCTTGTTTGATAACTTTCCTTAGTGTGTGTAAATGGGATTTGATACATGAAACATGTGCGTGTAAAACTGGAGGCTGTCCTCAAGATTTATGGAATCTGGGAAGCTGAGTCGATGCTAAGAGCTGAGGAAGGCATCTGGGCGACTGGGAAAAACCCTGGTTTGGGGGTTCTGGCTCTGCCACTTGCTGGTTGTATGACCCCAAACATGTCATGCTCGCCTCTGGGTCTGTTTCTTAATCTGTAAAATGGGTTGATGAGAAAACTAAAAGAAGTGGTGCATATGTAAACCCCATTGTTAATTGTAAAGTGTTATAGAAAACATGATAGCCCCCCTCCCCACCTCCACCTCTTCCAAGCCCCGCCCCCACCATTGCCAATGCCTGGCATTTGCTGACTCTATAAATGTTAAGCGAATATATTAACAGAATTTGGCCCCCACTGTCTGGTTAATGTTGTCTGGTTGAGATCATTTGTCCTAAAGGAATACAGAGAAAGGAAGTAACGTGTCAGGGGTGGGAGAGGCAGTTGGTAATGGAAGCTGAGTTGAATCTTGCAGGGGCAGGGTATTCTGGATGAAGACAGGATAGGGTAGGGGGAGAGACAAGAGCCAGGAGGAACCTAGTGAAAATGAGAGTGGCACCACTGTTCACTCATTGCTTGCTAGGGGCCAGGCTCTGCACCAACTGCTTAACACACCTTATGTCATTTACTTCTCTCATAGGACTACAGGTAGGTACTTCTGTATCCAGGTGAGAAAACTATGGCTCAGATAGATGTGTCCAAGGTGATGCAGCTCTTAAATGGCAACGCTAGGATTTGAATCCAGATCTTTCTGGCATAAAAGTACAGGCTTTGAATGAGCCTGCCTCCGCAGGCAAATAAGCCCAGTCTACGGGCAGGAAGTGCGTTCAGGGAGAACTCCCTGCCCAGCAATCAGCCTGAGGCTCTGCCCCTAAGTGTCAGGAGGACGCCTGACTGTTGGGCATGGAAGAGCTCCAAAGCAGGGGGAGACCCAGTGCAACTGAGCAGGCCCAGGCGACAGTGTGGGAGGGGTTTCCAAGCAGCCCTCAGTTTGCTTGACCAGCTTTCCTTCTCTGCCAGGCTCTGGTTTTCAAACCAGGGTGTGCAGGAACACTGAAGACTTCCCACTGGGTACACAATACAGAGAGTTTAAGGGAGTGAATTTCCAGGCTCTAAAGCTTCCATCTAGGGGCTCACCTGTCACACACCGTGTACCCACCCACTGCATACAAAAGCCTGAGTGCAAAGGGGAAATGAGAAACAGTTACAGAGCAGCCTTCTCTGGTGATGAGTCAGAGCGTTTTAGACCTGTCATTCTGTCTCTTCCTATCTATACGAATTTCTGCTAACAGGGATACCTGTGGCAGGGTGAAATATTTTGAATTCAGAACAACTAAAGTAGGATAAGTTAATGATACCGATTCTTTTGTTGTTGTTTTTGTAGAGACAGGGTCTCGCTGTTTGCTGAGGCTGGACTCGAACACCAGTTGAGGTGATCTTCCTGCCTCGGCCTCCCAAAGTGCTGGGATTATATGCGTGAGCCACCGCGTCTGGCCTAATTATTCTTATTGACCACATGTGAAGAGGGCATTGGAGAATATGTCTTCCTTGGGGTCGGCTTTTTCAGCTTGCTTCCTTCCTATACAAAGGTTGGGCCCAAGGATCATTTTGGGTCATTTTGAGTCTCAACTAGTTGCAGCCTCCCATCGGGTATGCTAATGGCCCTTGTGGCTCTACACTTTTCTACCACGTTAGTCACCTTCTTATCTATTTGGTTCAGCTCCGTGCACCATAGCCACACAGAGTTATTTTCCAGATATGCCTCTCTCTCTTCCTCTCTCAACTTAATTACTGCTACTTTGCACTTATGAAATTTCTGTGAGATAACCATATTCTTAGTTTTCTTTACCTGAAACATTCTTTTCCAACCACAAAGGATTTATTTGATTTATGAGGCACTGTCTTGATTGGTCCTTGCTACAAGTTTGAATTTTTTTCTTTAACAGACGTCTCGAGTATAATTTACATACTGTATAATTCACCCATTGTAGGAGTACAATTCAATAATTTTAGTAAATTTATAGTTGTGCAGCCAACACCACAATCCAGTTTTAGAGCATTTCTACCACCCCGAAACTTCCCACATGCTTGTTGCAACCAATCCTTGTTCCTGCCCCCAACCCTAGGCAATTACTAATATTCTTTCTAGGTCTATGAATTAGCCTTTTCTAGGCATTTCATATAAGTTGAATCATATATTAATAATATGTAGTCTTTTGCATCTGGTTCTTTCATTTAGTGTGATGTTTTTGAGATTCAGACATGTTGTAGCTCTGTCTATTTAGTTTGTTCCTTTTAATTGCTACATAGCAATCCTTTGTATAGATATACCACATTTTGTTTATTCATTCAACAGTTAATGGGCATTTAGGTTGTTTCAAGTTTGCGGCCATTATGAATAAGGCTGCTCTGAACATTTGAGCATATGTCTTTGTGTGGACATATGTTTCCATTTCTCTTGGGAAGATTCTCCAGGAGTGGAATAGCTGGGTCTGTGATGAGTCTATGTTTAACATTTTAAAGCAACTGCCAGACAGCTTTCCATAAAGGCTGCACCATTTTGCATTCCCACTAGCAATGAGTGAGGCTCCCCATTTCTCTATACCACAAAGCTGAGTTTTAATCAGCCTTTGTTACTCAAAGTTCTTCTCAGTTTTCTTTTATTGTTTAGTTATGAGAATAGGTTGGCTCTTCCATCTCTCCAGGTCCCTGCATTTTTGGACTCTATTCTTTTTTGTTCCTACTAAATTGTCCAATTTTTTGAGCCAATTTCTTTCTTATACTACCTGTCGAACACAGCTAGTAGCAACCAGGGCATGCGGTTAATATTCTGACTCCCAGTCTCTTTGCTTGAAGCCGTAAGCTCATTCAGTTCATCTGTGCCTTCCAAGTTAATGCAGGTAACAGTTTTACCAAATACGTCATCCCACGTAACATAGATCACCTCCTTCAGCCTTCAGTAGCAGTTTCCCTGATACCTGGCCCGTAGACAGCGGAGTTTGTTACGGTAGCATACCACTTGTGGCAGCAATGTCTGTATTAGTGAGGATGAAGAAGTCATGGTAACAAATGCCCATGAATCTCAGAGGTGTATAAAAACAACAGGGTTCTTTTTCCCTTATCCATGCTACATATCCACCCTCTTAAGCCATAGTGTACTCATCATCTTTACTCCTGAATCTGGGGTGATAGTGCTACCCCCATCTGGAACATTGCTTGTCTTCTGGGACAGGGCAAAGGGAACATGGTGAATCATCCACTTGCTCTTAAAGCTTCCTATCATGCTGAATTAGCCAGAGCAGGTTGTGTGGCCCATCCTGACTCGAATGGGGCAGAGAAACCTCCCCCCAGGGAAGGGCAGCAAATAGGATGAACAATAGTATAAATTCTCACCTTATGCTTTTTCTTTCACATCCTGATGACACTAAAGAAGAAAGAAACAGTATCTTTTTATGGAGGTTTTGCCCAGAGCTGCCCAGACCTAGGGTAAGACAGGGTGACCCTTTAAAATACCGTACGGGGACTTAGGATTTGCACTGCTGTGGTGGTTGGCCCCCAGATCCCTGGATTTGATGCACAGAATTATTCTTCTTCTTCTGGCAGCCCCATCTCTTAGGCTCAGGGGGAAATTTGATCAAGCAGATTGTCTTTTGTAGAGTTTAATACCCAACACCCAGTGCCTTCCAGAGCATTAGTAAACCCATTTTTCTCGATCTCCAGCTCAAATGGCCCCACCTATGTTTTTTCTTCCCAGCTGTCTTTTGGGGAGACATTGCCTTAGATGAAGATGACTTGAAGTTATTTCACATCGACAAAGCCAGAGACTGGGCCAAGCAGTCAGTGGAGGAAACAGGACATAGCACAGGTAAGTGCTGAGATCTTACGTCCCCGTCTCCTGCCCCGATGGGAGGGACGCAGGACTCCAGCAGGGGGAGATGTGGACCACAAGTCGTCGGTGTTCGACCTGCCTGTCCAGTGCCCACCTGTCTGTGGACAGATGGGTTGCCCCTCCTCCTCTGGAGCCAGTGGAGCTGGAGCTTCCAAGTTTGCTGATGCTTCTAAAAATCTCCATTTGCCTCCTTATGGGGGGACAGTTCAGACTGGGCTTGGTGTTGGTTCTTAGGACTCTGGCCTTGGGCTCCAGCATTTCCCAGACTGGAGAGGATTCCTGGATGGGCTCAATTTAGGTCCTGTCTGATAACAGTGCTGGTAATGACCAGCCCAGGGAGAGAAGTTTGCTATGGGGTCTCGCGCAGCCTGTGTTTGGCTGACAACCCAGGTGAAATGCCCTGGGGCCAGGCAACCTACCAGGCTTCAGACTTTGATGACTTTCCTCCCCTCCACCTCCTAGTCTCCAACCTTGGGGTGAATAGTAAGTAATGGGACTGGTGTCCTGTGTTCTCCTCACCTCTGCAGCAGCCTAGGGGAGCTGAGCTGATGTTTGCTGTGGCTGATGATGGCTCGTTATTGGTGACTGAGGCTCACACGTGCCTACTTCCTGCAACCCTTCTTGCCACCTGCTCTTCCTCTTTCCCAAAAAGAGCACCTGTCACAGGCCAAGTGCAGTGCTGGTGAGAGAAAGAGAAATACAGTGTGACCCCTGCCTTCCAGGAGACCTTTTCACACTGTGCAGATGGGTTTTAGATTTGGTCAAACTCTCCAACATCTCCAGGGTTCAGTTTTTCTATCTGTAAAATGGGGCTGAGTCCAACAGTGGCTCTATAGGGTTTGGGGGATTGACCCCGAGGGCAACAGGCAGCCGGCTGCCTGGCACGTAAGATCTCAGGAAAGGACGTGCTTTCCTAAGCTGCTCCCCGTCTAATGAAATGTAAACAGATGGACTGTCGTTCCCATGCAAGTGTGCATCGAAGCAAGAGAGTGGGGAGAGAGGAGAGCAAGTGGAGCAGCCTGCCTGGCGTCATGGGAACGTAAAGGGTGACTAGGAGTCCTGAGTGGGAGAGAGGACATTTCAGGTGCAGGGGGAGCCTTGTGCAAAGGAAGGTGTGAGAGGGGCTCTCTTTATGTGGGGAGCGGAGGTGAGCTGTGGGTCACTGGTGGGGAGTCACTAGTCTGGCCTCCGCTACCGCAGATTCTTTTTACCCATATGAATGGACTCACGCAGGCTGTGCTGCACTGTGTCGGTCTCCTCTCCCTCGGTATCTGACCGTAGGTCACCCGAGCTGCTGTGCGAAGCCACTGGTCACTCATCTGTCGCTGCGCAGCGCTCTGTTGCATGAGCGCACCCTCACTCTTTCGTGCTTTAGTTGCCAGAGCGCTGGGTAGTTTGTGGTTTGGGGCTATGAAGGTGGTTTGGTGAGCGCCCGCACTCATTTCCACGGGGCACAGGCCAGGAGTGGGGTTGCTGGGTCGTAGGGTGAGTATACACTCAGCTTTGGGAGATACTGTCCAGGAGGTGTCCACAGTGGCTGTACCAGTTTGCACCCCTGGCCCAGTTCACATCCATTTGGAAAGCAGCAGTGGTGTCCGTGCGGGACCCAGTAGGGCCGCTGGGGTCCTGGGGTCCCGGCTGTGGGTATCGCTCCTGTCCTTTGCACCTGCAGAGCAGTCAGCTGACACCCATCCGTCGTCTCGAATGCCCTGGCGTGCCCTTATCAGCTCTCTTTCTGCTGTCTTTGTGGGTCCAGCATTGGCAAATGTGAGTGAGAGACCCCAGAGAGAGGATGGGCAGTGGACGGCCACCACGGCAGCGGCACACTCAGCTGCTGGAGAGTCGCCTTTGGGGAGGCTGCCTGGGGACACTGTGGTGGAGGAGGGTAGCAGCCCTGCCTTCTGTCTCATGGCGCGTGCTCAGGCAGATGTGGTCGCAGAACTTGATGGTCTGTCTTCTCTTTCCTGCTCCCCTGTGAGCTGGCGGAGTGCTCGGTCTACATTGTATTAGGCCTGGGTCTCCCAGAGGCGAGCCAGCACCTTGTACCCAGAAGGCACTGGCCCAGAAGGCATTGGCCAGCATTGGCAGGGAGGAGAAGGTGGAGGCAGACGGAGGTGGCAGACCCTGGAGCCCTCTGTCCGATGGGGCTTTGTTCCTAGAAGGGTGGCTGGAGTGTTGGCCACGGTCACAGGCTTTAGGCTCAGACTGCCTGGGCTTGAATACTTGAGCTGGGCCTCGGTTTCTTCATCTGTCAAATGGGATAGTAATAATCCTTACCTCAGAGAATGTGGTGAGGATGAAAATGAAGCATATGTGCAAAGTGCTGAGCACAGTGCCTGGCACATATCAAATGCTTAACAAATATCAACTCTGCTTCCTCCTCCTCATTATCAGTATTTGCAGAGAGCAGACCGACCTGGGAGGGTTTACAATTGAAGTGGAGAGTGGGGGGGATTTTGCCATTTGTGGAGGGAAACTGGGGGCTTTGAAACCTAGACCTGGTGTTTCCTCCTTCCCAAGCTTGAGTTTTTTTCTGGTGTGTTTTTATGGCAAAGTGACTTTTGTCCTGATTGTTTTTCTCTGAAGGCCAATAGTACTTTGCATGTATCTAGAATAGTTATTTTATTGTCAGAATGGGAATATTTTTATTGTTTTTGCTGATGAAACTAATACTGCTTGTTGTTAAAAAAAAAAAAAAAAAGTCCAGTAGCTCATAATTGTAGAAAGGAGAAAGTGAAAATCCCCTGTTATCCCAGCCCCCGGGATTCTCATCATTATCTGTTTGCTGGATTCTTTCCAGTCTTAATGTGCTCAGGCTGTGTGCATGTGTGTGCATGGCTGTGTGCATGTGTGTGTATGTGCATGTGTGTGCATGGCTCTGTGAATGTGTGTGCATGTGTGTGCATGGCTCTGTGAATGTGTGTGCATGTGTGTGCATGGCTTTGAATGTGTGTGCATGCGTGTGTGTGCATATGTGTGTATGGCTGTGTGCATGTGTGTGTGTGTGCATGGCTGTGTGCATGGCTGTGGGCATGTGTGTGTGCATGGCTGTATGTGTACATGGCTGTGTGCATGGGTGTGAGCATGGGTGCGTGTGTGTATAAATATAACAGTGATTAGGGATTTTACTCAACATTCTTTGGTGTAATCCATGTTTTTTGCTTAACACTGCATCATGGACATCTTGTCATGCCTGACAAGCACATTATGGTCTCTCTTATTATTTTTTTTATTTTTATTTTTTTTTGAGACAGAGTCTCGCTTTGTTGTCCAGGCTAGAGTGAGTGCCATGGCGTCAGCCTAGCTCACAGCAACCTCAAACTCCTGGCTCAAGCAATCCTCCTGCCTCAGCCTCCCAAGTAGCTGGGACTACAGGCATTCGCCACCATGCCCGGCTAATTTTTTATATATATTAGTTGGCCAATTAATTTCTTTCTATTTATAGTAGAGACGGGGTCTCACTCTTGCTCAGGCTGGTTTCGAACTCCTGACATCGAGCAATCCGCCCGCCTTGGCCTCCCAGAGTGCTAGGATTACAGGCGTGAGCCACCGCGCCCGGCCTCTCTTATTATTTTAATGGCAGTAGTGGTCCAGTGTGCAACTCTGCCACAATTTATCCAACTGAGCCCTTACAGATGGACACGAAAGTTGTTTCCCATCTGTCCTGTCATTTTTTCCCTATTATATCCAATGCTGCTGTAAATAACTTTGTGCATATATCTTTAAACATTCGCTTTAATTAAAAAAATAATTTAAAAGGAACCATACTTTTCCCCTCTCTTCCTACTTACAAATGTGTGAAAAGATGTATTCTTAGATTTTAGGTTAATCTCATTTCCAAACTTTGTTAAGTGCCCCTCTTTCTTTTGGTGGTGGGTAGGGAAGGGGTCTTAAGGGGGGAGGGCTGAACTCCCTGGCAGGGTATGGGGGTGGGGGGAGGGTCCAGAAACCTGCAGTGCAAACCCAGAGGCCTCCTTCCCTGGTTTGTCCTGTAAACTTGGAACTGCTTTCCTGGCTGCAGAATAAAACGATGTCAGTTGCCCTAGAGGTGACCTCATCAGCCTATGTCAAGCGTGCCCAACGTCCCAAATTCAGTCAGTGGCAGAATCAGGGCTAGAAGCCACATTTCCCAGCTCCCAGGTGGCCATGTCTCCCACAGGGCCGACCTGCCCCTCTATTGCCTGCTAGGAGGAGCAGAGAACAACAGAGTGCAGACAGTCAGTCCTTTGCTGTCACTGCAAGGTAGGCTGAGTCTTTCTGTGCCAAGGGGTGAGCAAAGCCTTTGTGCTTGGGTTGGCTTAAGAGGCCACTCAGGGGACTGCACCGGCCACCATAAAAGCCACTGAAGGCTTTAGGATTCCCAGCAGGGAGCACTGCTGCTGTTCACTCAGGGGCCCGGGGCTGTGCTGATTTTGTGCCCATTCTGCCTCCATTCTCTCTTGCGCCCTTCTGGCCCAGCTTCTCTTCCTGGCCTCCTTGCAACCACTGTGGTCGGTTGAACAGTGTCCTCCCCAAATTCACGTCCACCTGGACCCTCAGAATGTCACCTCATTTAGAGATAGGGTCTTTACAGATCTAATTATTTAAGGATCTTGAGATGAGATCGTCCTGGATTTAGGCTGAGCCCTGAGTCCAAGGACTGATGTCCTTATAAGAAGAGGAGAGGACACAGAGGGACACAGAGAAGACAGAGGTGAAGACAGAGGCAGAGACGGGAGCAGTGCGGCTACAAGTTGAAAACACTAAGGATTGTCGGGAGCCGCCACAAGCTAGGAACACACCAGGGAGGCTCCTGCCCTAGAGCCTTTGGAGGGAGCACGGCCCTGCCACACCTGGATTTCAGACTTCCAGTCCCCAAGCCTATGAGAGAATAGATTTCAGCCAGGCAGCTTATGGAAATTTGCATGGCAGTCCTGGAAAACGAATATGACTATGCTCCTTAGCCCCTTTCAGTGGCTCCAATCACTGATCAGAAA